AGCTCTACAACTGAGCTCCGATATGCATACATACCAGGATCTTTCGATCCTCTGCTTCTCGCAGTTTCATCTACAGATAGATCTCGTCGATCTATCTTCCTGAAGTGTATGGTTGGCCCTGGAGGGCTTTCCACTTTACTAAACCTATGACCTTCATCCGTCCATTCATTTGCTCCGTCCCATCGCTCCTTGCATTCATCTCTTCGACCTAACTTCCTAACCTTTGTAGTTGCATCATCTAGACGACCATTGTCCTCGTTCCTCGTACTCCTGGCCATCTGATGATGATCGGATAACATCTGATTTGAGTCACACATCCCCAATCACGAACCGTGATTGTGGATCCCGAGTCGTCTGTCCGTCAACGAAAATACTTTCTGACACCCTTCCTGTTTTCGCGATGATGGCAGCGACCTTCTTACCAGCTCAAACCAATTGCTCCTGTTCTCCTGTTAGTTTCGGTGCATGTCTGTCGAGGGTCCGACGTTGACATTCTTGGTTCCCATGTCGCTCACGTTTTCTTCCGAGCGAACGAAACCAATCTTCACTAGGCCGTCCTCGCTGCATTTGGTTCACGTAGTGCCACCTCGTATCCATTCCTTGTTCGACTTGCACTTGTCTTGTTCTCTGACATAAAGATAGCCCTACGTTATCGATCTTCACTTGCAAGGTAGTTCCACGTTGATTTGTAGGAACTTCAGAATCTCGCGATGAACGGGACTTCTCGCACTGCTTCGCCACCCGCGTAGAACTCAGCTTCGGAACCGACAATGCTACGACCTTCTGTAGCTTGGACCTCCAGTGAATGAGTACACCTCGAGAAAGATCATCATGGACGTGACTGATCTTCGTTGTTCTTGTCTCCGGCCCATCCGAATCCGAGAATACTTCAATTTCCACGGTCCTTCGTCTTCTCTGGTCTCATCAAAAGTCCACGGTTCCTTGAGTCCAACACGTACTTTACACGGCGTAGCATTTCCTTGTAGCTGCCGGCGTTGCGCATCCCAAGACCTTAGCTAGCTCTCGTACCGCGTTCGAGATTTCTGGCTTTGAATGCTTGATAAGGTACATGAGCATCCTACTCCTGTTCGATATCTGCTCTGTTGTTCTTCAGCGATCCATTCGTTCTGTTCGTCTGTCTTTACTATTCCGGTCCAGGTGTTCCCGCAGCCTTGTACTTGGGTAGCTTCTGTACCTCCTCTCCAATGTGGTTTGAATCTTCTTATCATTTGGGGTTGTCCCACCCATGCAGCATCCTTCGGGGATTCATCCGAATCTCACAGCTCAGGTAGTCCGTGAGTTCGTACTCTATGGTCATGTTCAAGCCTCGATCTTTAATCCCTTGAAGCACTTCTTGATATCGTCTTCTTCTCCAATGGTGAGATTGTCATCCACGTAACATAGAATCACGCATATCTTTCCCATTCTTTTCCGCATGAAGAGGCATGGATCACTAGGACACTTAACGAATCCTAAGTCTTCCAGGACACTCGCAAACTTCAGTAGTACTGTCGTGCGCTCTGGAAGCACCATAGATGGTCTTGTCCAGTATGACACATTCGTCGTCTTGGTGTTCTAGTCCTTTTGTCAGTCCATGTAGATGACTACGTCCAGTCTCCATGTAGGAATGCTGTCTCAATATCGAAGATAATCTTTCGCTCTTCCCATTTCTTTAGTAGTAGAATCAAATGATGCGGAAGGTGATGTGTTAGCCACCGGACTGTAGATTTGTCAAAATCAATTCGGGTACCTGACTGTAGCCGCAGGCCACCAATCTAGCTCTGAATCTTCCATTCCGCTTGATTTCCAGACCCATTTGTGTTTGACACATCGTCTCCCTTCCTCCATTCTTGATCTCTTGATTCTTGCGCCAGACCTTGAGTTTTCTCCATCTTGTCTAGCTCGCCTTTGATCGCCTCCCTCCACTTCTCTCGCTGAATTGTTTCCGGGTGGTCCCAAGCTTCCTCGAACGTGCTTGCTTGGTGAACAGATATTTTACTTTGCTGGATCCTGAGTCCTTGGGTCATTTGCGAGAGTCTCTTGATCAATGATGCCTGTCCTAGTCCTCCGTCAATCTACTTCTGATGCCGTGTACCCAAACTCCATCCATTCTTCATGTGCGTTCCCAACGTTCTGTCATTGGAATCGTCGAAAATTTGCCATTTCTGTCATTGGCGTGATTCGGTTGTTCGTGCTGAGCTTTATCTTCTCCACAATCTGAACGAGAGAGAAAGAGAAAACGAAACAGATAGCCAGTCTACTAGACAGTAGAGCTGGAAGGATATTGATTAAATTAGAGAAATTGTGCGTTCAAGTTCACACCTTTTCAACAGGTACGGTACACTGAGAACCCCAAAAGGCTCAGGTTAACACTCGGTCTGGCCTCCTCCCAAAGATACCAGTACCGGTATGATATGCAACATGCATGAACATTCGCAGTGACGTGGCCCTTTCAAGAATACAAAAATCGAGGGAGGCCCATGGCGGAGGTGTTGCTGCATGTAGCTCGGACCAAAACGATAGAACACGCCCTCAACACAAGTCCTGGACCTTCCGAACGAGGCTTGGCTCTCTCCTCTGACTTGTCGGTTTTCATCGCTCATTTCATTATCTTGTCGATCTTCATATATATTTGAAAGGATCAAGCTCACGGGTATCTACTCTCTGTTCTGGTTTTGGTCTTTGCGAGCAGCTGTTCCAACAACACCATTCCAGGATCATTCCAACTCTCCGAAACGCAATTCATTGTTATCAAAAACGCGACAGCAGGATGATGGTCCGATGCAGCAGCTTCACAATCACCTCCAGCCTCCTTTTGCTCTGTTTGGGGACGTCCCCGTATCTTTCTTCTGTGAGTGGGTTTGTCGCACCTCAAGCTGGTCGCTACACTTCAGTTGGATCTACCAGAGTCTCCGCCAGATCGATCCTGTCTCTTCGGGTATCGGCTGCGTCTCAAGACGAGCAAGAGACCACGCAACAACCAACACCGGAGGACGATGACGGCAAATACGACGACAGCGTTCGTCGAGGACTGCGTCGCTTGGCTCAACTTAGCTTGGAAGATTACGATTGGCGAATGTCCCTGTTCCGAGAAAAAGATGCTGAAAGGAAGGTCGAGGAGAGTCTTGCAGTCATGATGGGAGAAGATGCGTCCTATGTGAGACCGATGGATGCTAGTGATTCCAAAATTGGCCCCCTGGTGAGTGCAAGATGGAAGTAGTTGCAACTTCGACCAACACTATATATTATTGCTCAATCTACAGCGGATTTTTTTTCGGCAATAGGGCCGCGCGGAAAAGGCCGCAGTGGACTGGCTGTCTGAAGTTATCGACGAAGAGGGTCGAAGAGCCAAAAAAATTGTCAACACGGATGGTCAATTAGTCAGACCTATTGAGGCAGGAGACGGCACGGGAGAACTGGGGCCTTTGGGTAAGCTCGAACTGCAATTTGTAGATTTCCTTAACTCTATCCGAACATCCGAAAGGCTGCGGATTTCGGAGGGTGTTTGGCGCCCCAAAGATTTGGAGGAATCTACTCGAGGCCCTTTGGGTCAGTTGGAGTTGTCGGTGGTGTCGGCAATTCGAAACATTCAAGAAGCGGAAATGCTGCGTATGGAACAATCACGAATTCGGGGCGGAGAAGTAGTGAGACCCATCGATGTCCCCGGGCCATTGGGCGAGTTTGAACTGGCAGTGGCTGAGATGATCCAAACAGAACGACTGCGCGCAAAGGATGGGCAAGACAATGAATCCATTGTCCGACCAAAAGATGCCGCTGTCAAAGGCAAGTTAGGCGAAGCAGAAATGCAAGCAGTTGACGCTTTACGGCAACTTACCGAGGAAGAACGGGAACGACTACGCAACATCAAAAGACGACTAGAGGACAATCGTCCAATGTCGATGGACAAAAAGTCGCTATTGGGGATCCTTGAATCCATTTTGGTTGGCATGTTTCGTGCTCCAGCTCTTTTGATTGGAGTGATTCAACGCGTTGTGGAGTTACTTCAGAGTGAAAGTATTAGCGAGAAAGACAAGGCCATACTCGAGAATCGCGAGATGCCAGAACAGGAAAAACCCAAGAAACAGGACTGAGCGAGAAGACAAACGACTAAATTCAATGAATCTTAGCTACCTGGCTGCGCTCCACAACAACCAGCAATCAACCGAACAGGGCTGGTCCATTAACCACACCTACCGGTACGAGCAAGCGACCGCATGAACAACTCAAGTGCACATAATGTATTATCTCCTATTTTATTTCTCGATCATCTTTTCTGAATCGAATCTCTGCTCAGTTACTTGGATACCGGTACTGTCCTTTGTTGCTCCATCTTTGGCGTACTCCTTCATTTCGTTTACCACTGACGAAACACAATAGAGCTGTAGTCATTCCTTCAGCAGAAGCAACCAAGGTGCCATCATGACTTGGCCTTGTTTTCCTCAGCCACAAATTGAGCAAACTTCGGATGATCATCTATACTGAGTAGGTCGATGTTGCTCCTAAGCATTTTGCCCCACGCGGTTTCTTTGTTTGGTGCACCCCAGATACGGACCAACTTCCCTTGCGAGTGGGCTCGTTCGGTTAGTCTTCGCATGAATTGGTCTCCTCGTCCAACCGCACGTGCAAAACGGACTTGCCGCCAGGGGACGCTGATCAAGGGGACTAGGTCTGTCTGGGCATTGGCTCTGACATCCTTGACACGGCCATCCAGAAAGAGGAAACGTTCTCCATTGGGCGCTTTCAGGCTATCTGCACGGGGACGATTTCCAGATATGACTACTGTCAATCGTCCAGGTTTGAATACACCATTTTTGTCGACTTTTGAAAGATAGGGCCGAAGAGGGGTGAGCGCTGTTTGCAGCAATGAAGCTGATTTGTCCGCGTCTCCTTTGAAATCTACAAGCAGATTCAACCTGTCCACTCTGCGAGGAAGGCGGTGGTTCGAGGGCATTCTTGTTTGTTGTAGTCTTCCCTCGGGGTCTCCTCCTTGAGGGGTCAACGCTCGGTGAGATGGGCTCTTTCGACTCTCAACTGGTGATCTGCCTGTAGGCTGAGCCGCGGAGGGAGTTGAGTCTTCAGGTTGTCGTTGCTTCTTGAAGATTCCCAAAATTGGCTGTATGTACATGGTTTCAATGGTTCGTCGCGGATCCAGATCGAGGACGGTGTGAGCCACCAAGAGAGAACCATCATGTTTTGGAAAGACGTCCACTTCTATGCTGTTGAGTCCATGATGGAGAGCACTAGATAGGGGGTTAGCTTGGTGGTAATCGTTGTGAGAGTGTGCTCGACACATGGTGGGAGATTCGCGACGCTTGCTCTTCGAAAGAAAGTGGAGCAGAGGGGCATCCTTGCAGCCAGCATGTGCTTGGGGTATCTGGAGGAAAACAAGAAGCAACACTGCCACGAACTGGCGTGGGGAAATCAATGTCGGATGAGCTGACGAGAGATTATGCTTGGAACGATATTTAGTAGCCCCGATCGCATCGTTTCGGAAGAGCCCAAGATCCTCATCGAAATCAATGGTTTGGATCATTGGGGTTGTGACAGAGGAAACAAGATAATCGGACTTGCAGTTCCACGCGAAGAATTCGACCGCTTCTCTCTGGACTTCTTCAGTACATGCACATACTTTCTCAGAGGCTTCCTCTGATCATTGTGAATTACCGTTGCTTGGAGCAAGCCTTTCATCCTTGATGCTACCCTGATGCCAAATGTCAAGCACGAAAACGCACAGAAAATGAATCTTCACAGGTGTCAAGCCGGCAGAGATTCGATGATTCCATGCCTTCGAGGCTGTTTCTCACGCCACAATTATCTAAGCGCACACTTGAACAAACTCAGGAAGCTTCACTCGCGCGCCATCAGCTCGGATGCACAAAGCTGTCACCAAATGCACTGGCTTCAAATGTGCACCTGTCTGCCATCGTGCCATGCACGTTGACGAGTTGACAGTTGACGATGAGGATTTCATTCAGTGAAGAAGGAATCGAATCGAATCGAATCCAACGAAAACGCTGAAGTAAACAGAAGACACTACTGCTGTACATAAGGGATGAGGGCCATCAGACCTTTGATTGAGAAAGGGAAACATGATTGCTGCTACCGGTACTTGAACAGGATCTCGGACTTGAATGTCTGGTCGGCTGGGAGGATATCCCAAGTGCGTTTCTTGTCCTCCGAAGCGACACGAAGTAGCACCAATATCACAAGCTCCTCCAAAAGCAAAGACAGCACCCTCTTGTTTCCTTGGAGACACAGTCAAAAGCTATTGCCACGCATCGAGTTAGAATCCTATCGCATCAACAAAGACTGGAGGTCTAGGTTTTTCATCGGCTTGTGGGAAAGATCTACAGGCTTGATCATGGAAAAGTCAGTCCCAGAGCTTGTGGGAAGACAGTGGAGACAGGATTTGGCAGAAGAGAGTGCTTGGGCCTTCTCTTGCGGAGTCGCAGCTCTGTTATCCAACACTTTCAAAGGTACGATTTGATTGAAGCCACTGCTTATGCATGTGTTTGTCTCCTGTCCGTGAATTCACTGTTTTTCTTTCAGTTCCAATGGACGATATCTTACTGAGACACGGAGAAACTGGGGAGATTGTTTTTGCTTATACGACTCCCTTTACTAGAGAAAGCATCTCCCAAACTGAGGAACAAGCAGCAACTGGAAAAGATGGGCAATCCAAGCAGGCGGCTGATTCTTTGAACGCAGAAGAAACCTCTGAGGAGGAATCCACTGATCAGAAATCCTCTACAATCAACCAAACACAATCTTCGTATTATTTTGACGACGTTGAGGAGGTTTTTGAAGAGGACGTGATAGAGCTATACCGATCCTTCCACAAAAAATTCCATGAAGCAACGAGGCTCTCGTCGAATGAACAAACACCAGCACCGCTCGAGATCACACTAACACTGACACCAGTCGATGCTGAGCTTCACAAGATATTTTGCTTTCCATTTCTCAGTCGTTCCGCGGTGAAAGAGGACAAGTCTCGCAAGAAAGATTATATGACAATGTTGGAATCTATCCGCCACGAAGGGGCCCAATCTTTCTTCAAGGCATTTTGGGCCTTTGCTGATCGCATGCTCGCAGAGAGAGGCATGATGCAAACAACCGTGATGGCAGATGTCATGATTGAGTGTACCGAGAGTTTCCAAGTGAAAGACGTTTCCACCAATGAGATTCTGCAAGGCGATGGTATAGAGCGGACGGTGAGACATTGTGTACGGATGGAGAGAGATTCTTCGTTGGTTCAAGAGGACAACCAAGAGTTTTGGGTACAAGGGAATTGGAAAATTGCAGATATTGACGACCACTTGGTTGGAAGAGGCCTTTGGACTCCAATATAATTAAATGTATGACACAAAGGCACCGCTGCTTGAGAAACAACTTTCTACTAGTAGTTGACTTCTAATTCGCTACAAGTGGTTTGTCCTTCTATTTAGTGTTGATGTTTGTGATGATGATGGTGAGGCTTCCCTCTTGCCACATTCACAGCATGTTTCAATAAACCTCGAACATTCTCAAGGCCGCCATCCAGTCCTTTCAAGGGCAAAGCGATTAACATGCAACCGCCATCACTTTTGTCTGCTTTAATAAACCCCACAACGGGGTCAAACAGAGCAGCCGTTCCATCTTGTGCCGCGGCTCCTCTCCGAGCTTGCAGCGCTAAAGCATCGGCTACCTTCCCCACTTTTCCACGTATCATCTCGCTGACTTGCAGCGAATAAGGAAAGGAACCCGAACAAGCAACAACCCAAAAGTCGGCTTGGTTTGAGATATGACTGTCGTCAAAGTACTTCTTGACATCTGAAAACGACCCATCGATATTTTCAATCGATGCAATGAAAGTTGATCCACTTCGACTGCCGCTCAGTGCTTTCGCGACTCGTTCAGATAACTCATCATCGGCAATCAAAGGGTACTTTGTACGATTTTCCGATACCTGAGTAATGGCAACTTTAGTGGGTGCTCGAGAAGGTTTACCGGTGTGATTGAGGTGCTTGGAATCTTTGAACTTCACGGCCGAATGATGGTTTTCCAGAAGCAACACGGTGAACTGTTGTCCTGCCAATGCTTTCGGTTGGCTTTCTGTACCTCGAGGCAACACCAGGAGACCCTGTGCATCCCTCAAACTCATCAATCGCGAAGACCTCTGCACTCCCGTTGATGTTGCCGTATACACCATTGCTGCTCCATTGGAAGATAATTCCATGTTCAGTACAACCCGGTGATACTCGGGTCGTTCCATATCGAGCTTAATGTCGTGTGTTAAGGTCGCCACTAGTTCCGGTGGAACGAAAGCATTCTGAACCATTTCGCCCACCACCATTTGAGTTGCGTTTCTTCCTTTGTATTGGGTCAACATGTCCAAGGCTGGACGTACGAGCAAGTGTGTGCAGACAGTGGCGCTCACAGGGTTTCCGGGCAGGGCAAAGACCAGGCACGGCTTGGGCGAAGCATTTTCCTTGGGATGAATGGATACAAAAGTAGTGGGTTTTCCTGGCTTCATGTTCAATCTTCCAAAATGCAGCTTACCACCTAGGCGTCCAACTAGAACGTCTTCGACGATATCGGTCTCGCCCATGGAGATCCCACCGGTCGTGAGAATGAAGTCGCAGGTTTGGAGAGCACGTTCAATTGTTCTGGTCATGGAATCAATATCATCGTCTCGTTCCATTCCTAGATCGACAGGTTCACAACTGTTGCTTCCCAATGAGCTTAGAAGCGACAAGAGAATAGGTTTGTTGACGTCTGGGATTTGTCCTGTTTGAATCAAACCGCCGTTTTCCTGCTGATTGGACCATGAATCTGTGGACACCAGCAACTCATTTCCAGTGGACAAAACACCGACTTTAGTTTTTCGAATGACTTTGATTGCTGTTTGTCCAGATTGCTGCAAGAGCCCCAAAGACACGGGATGAATACAAGATCCAGCAGGAATAACCACAGAACCAGCTTCAATATCGCAACCGACATTTCGAATCCATTTCTTGGGCTCCACTGACGCCTTGCTGGAAATAGTGATATTGGCTTTATCAGCAGATTCGTCGATGAGTTCAATGGGAACCACGCAGTCGTAGGAATCGGGTATTCTGGCACCTGTTGTCACGTAGACGGCAGATGGTAGAGATGACGAATCGGGTGCCGCTGGATTGGTTGATGGACCTGCATGGACTCTGCCACTGACTTGATGTGTCCACTGCTGGTCCGTGCCATCTTCCTTTGGTTTGTATTCGTCAGAACGAATCACATAGCCATCCATAATACTGGCACGATAGGGAGGGTACCCAGGTTCTCTCATGAGTAGATCTTCGGCGACAATTCTGCCCAGTAGTTCCGAAGCAGAAGCCTGGGAAGAAATCATATCATAGCTGTCGCTTGCATTCGAAGATAAAATGGTTTTTGCCGTTTCTTCGAGTACGCGTCGAATGGCTTCGGGCACTGGGATCATTGGATGTGGCTGAGCCGCCTCTGTCGCCTTGGATGATGTCATGGCTGTGAAAAATATCTATAGTATAGACGGGGAGTGGCTAGCCAGCTAGGTAGGAGCTACCCATATGTCATGCAAGCGACAAGTACACTGTAGAGTTTAAGACCTCGATAACTGACTTGACTTGACAACCAACAAATGATTTCTGTGGGCTGTGGGGGTGGATCAGGGTTCGCAACGCTAACTCTGTATCTTTGAGTCACGTATTTATCGAGATCATTCACGAGTTCCTGAACACGTCATCGCGTCGATGGTGATTTGAGAAGATCTTTTGGAGTCAGACGGATCTGCAGAAGCAACATGACAATGATTGCCTGACACCGCATTCTGGCGCTACTGTTGTTGGCTTCCTTTCAAAAGCGAAGGTATAATTCTGGAAGACCGGCACCACGACTATCTAGCTATCTATCTACCAAAGAAAGATGATCTCCCGAGTCCTTTACTTCGCCTTGGCCTTCTTGGCGCTCGCTTGTTCGGCGAGTGCCTTTGTTCCAGCCAAGCCCCAGGTTGTCGCCTTTCAAGCAAGGGCCACAGCGACTTTTGCCAAGAAACCCCAAGAAGACCTTTCGTTTATCGAGTCCCGAGATATGACCCGTGAGGAAATGCAGGCACTGAACAAGAAGAACGAAGATATCATGAACATGGAACTCCAAATGATGACTATCTTCAGTTTGGTCATCTCGCTGCCCATTTTGTACCTCTGCTGGGTTGCCTTCTTCTCCGAGTAATTGTTGCTGAATTATTCGCACAATGCGTTTCCGATTGAACTCAAACACTGACGGAAAACGGCGACAGAACATGATTGGAAGGAGACCAAAATCATCGATTTGATTTGGCTGAGAGGAGGAACACACTAGGACAAGGATGGGAGACAAATTGTTGAGCAATACACTAGATTATTGAAAAGGACAACTGCAATGTGAAATTGTTGCTCAATATATATGTTGGACTGGATGGGTTTTGATGGGCCCCTCTATTCAACCGATAGAAAGCTAGTTGCTGATTACAAAAAAGCGAAAAGTAGTTTAGATTCATGCTTTGTGTCATCACAGCACTAGCTAGTACGGTACAGTAGCCCTTCTCCTTCAATCAGGTGAGAAATTACTGCGGACAGTAGGATTATGTAAGACGACGGAATTGAGTTTTAGGCGAACAACATGCCGCTCTCCGATCTACCTCGGCATCAGAGCTTGTTTTCGATTCAATTGTTCGATCGATCATTCATTTCAAAGCAAACAATGACTCAACTTGAAGTATTCGATGGTGGGCTGGTGTGAGTGTAAGCCGCGATGAGCGGACAACCGCCAAGGCGAACAGTTGAGCAACATCTATCTGATATTACGCTTCCCATTCTAGCTTGCTACTAGTGGCTACAGTAGCTAGCTAGCTGTTCTGGCAGTATTTAGTGCGGACCATGTTGGCGCTATTGGGTCACGAGGCGACTTCCTAACAATGGTACAGGTGTACTGGAACACCCACGATATAAGTCATAAATGACTGTAGTCAAGCCTTCTAAGTCATATGGCCTAACTCTAGTCGTGAATGTCGGAATTCTGAAACCACGATGTCGGAAAATGTCGGCGTTTGTACGAGAATGTCGGAATTTGTCGGAAAATGTCTGCGAAATGTCGGAAGGTTTCCGGACATTTCAGCGAGAATTTTCCGACATTTAAAACGGATGACTTTCGCTGATTAAGTCTTGTTTCTCACTGGTTAGTACTTTCTTTTCCATAGAAGGCTACCAACTCGGAATGATTTAAGCTCATTCAACGGTCCTCTAATCGTAAATGTCGGATTTAACTCGCCAAAATGTCGGCAAAATGTCGGCAAAATGTCGGCAATGTCTGAGAATGTCGGCGTTTGTACGAGAATGTCTGCATTTGTCGGAAAATGTCGGGACATTGTCGGGAAACTTTCTTCCGTCATTTAGGCCATATGATTTAAAAGCTGTGCCGGTCATATATCTTTAAAAAAGACTTTATCGAGAGTGTTCCTGGTATTGTACCGGTAGCTACGATACGCTGTACCGGTACGTACCACCGGAAATCGAGTGAGCCCCAGTCCACAGTCCAGTCAAGTCTGAGTCGAGTCAACAGTGCGAAAAGGATCGAAATTAAATATCCACGAAGCCACGAATGCGACTGTGTGGTGAGAGAATCGAATCGCTGTGTACATACATGTACGGTAGCAGAGATGCCGGGACGACGGACACTATCTAGCCAGCCACTGCTTGCACCTTTATGGAAAGACAATGCTCAACAAGAATGGCGCTGAGGTGGTTGGTGCGGAGATATTGCCATCAAACAGCCGACTATCAAATTGGAAACGCATGCGGTGGACGAACCGGGGTATCCCGGCAGTCCTGTCACTTGACGTTCTTGTGGCATACCTCCGGCAAACATCACGCTAGCGTTTGCTAGTGGTACTAGCTAGGCGTAAATGTTGCCTACCTGATAAGCCACAAGGAGAAGTGCATCGCAACGGTTGATTATCAACATCTGACCACCAGCTTAGTGGAGTTCCGAGGTGGTCCATCTGATCCTACATGGTGGCGAATTTCAACGGTATGTTGCGGAATTGTACCCGACCAAGCCACTCATCCTTGTCCATAAGCTATATTCCGCCTCTAGCTATAACGGGGAGAGCTCAAACTTACTCCAATCTTGACTTTCAGACACCGTCATGTTTTGACCATGGTCCAATTTTTTGTGATGGAGAGTGGCGAGTTTTTGCGTTGAAAGAAGCATGTTAGTCGATTGAGTCGATGCGCCACTGAACTTGACAGGAGAACACAAGACTTAACGTGGGCGCTCCAGGCGTTCTGGGGCGCCAACATAACAGCGATGCATCACATCGACCTGCCACTGATTTGCTTGCCCTGTTATTGTTGTTTGTTGTTGTTGATGGTAGCATTTATTTGTCTCTATTAGCTTGCAAGAAGGTACAAGTGCATTGCGTGTATACATGGCAGAAGCCTGCACGTCTCGGCTAAAGAGAGTTTGAGAGAGAGGTCGTTAGAGACTGCAGAGCCCATTGTTTGTTGTCCCAAAGCAGAGAAGACATTGCTTTCTGGGATCCATCGGCGCCGGCTGGTCGAAGCATTGCCTGATCGACTTGGTCAGCATTGTCATTGACCATGTCTGAGTCCTCATCAGATGAATATGAGTTCGAGGGCTCGCCTCCGCATCAGGCGAACGAAGAAAGCGATTTGACGGCTCCACAGGACAATACGTTGGCTCCTGTTGTTTCCTCGAAAACCGCTAGCAACGTAGAAGCAGAAGCAGTTGCCCCCAACAGCAAAGCTGGAGCCCAAGAGAAGAAGCTCCCCCCACAAAAGGCCAAAGGAAAAGCGTCCAAGTCCAAAGCCACTGAAAAGACCACAGCCAGCAAGAAGCAGAAACCCAGCGCAAAAGCGAAGAAACCAGCACAAAAGACCACCAAGAAAGGTACCACCAAGAAAGCTTCTGCCAAAGGAAAGGCGACAACCGCTAACAGCAAAGCTCCTGCCAAAGGAAAAGCCACTAAAGCTGACACCCCAGAATCCACTGCAATGGACCTTTTCTCAAAGCATTACAGAGAATTTGAACGTTGTACGACTCGACTGGAGAAGGTGGACCTTTTTGGATTCTTCTGGGACGAGGCTCCTGAAGAATTCGTCGAAGATTACACAGCAAAGAAAGGGTCAACGGAAGATGGAAACGCTAAAGATGATACCACAAAGGAAGAGGAGTCATCAGAAAGCGACAACACGGAATCAGAAGGTGCAAAAGCTCCAGTAGTATACCCAAGCCATCCTCCTGTCAATTGGGAAATGGTGCGACGCCGTCGAGATCATGGGCGCTATGTTCTAGATATCAAGCAGCAACGAGAACAAAGCTATGAACAGATAGTGCAGTACTGGCGACATGAACGCAAGGGAGTAACGACGCCGAATCCCCCTGTTCTACACGCCAAAGGCGTGCATTGGGACTTGTTCAAAGAGGATATTCTGGGAATGTGCAACAGTGCTGCAGAGAGACGCAGCCCAGAAGAACCGGATGATGGCAAAGCGGGGTCCTTGTCACATTCAATCAAGAAAATCATTGGGGTCTTGGAGCAAATATACGAACGGACTGGTTGTCGTCAAATGAACGAACTGGAAGTTGCGAACAATCGCGAACAATTCACAGGAGCGTTGGATCGAACTACGAACACCGAAGCTGCTTTTCAGGGAAAGTGGCGTCAGATTCCATTCCCTGAAAGACAGTACGAAAGATTGCCCACCAAGAATGTTGTCTGTGCGGGGCTTTCAGAGTTGGACGAGCGAATTGCATCCTACGAACTGCGTACCAGCCTGCCAGATTCGTTTGTTGGTGTTTCATACAAGTATGAAGACGACACTGGAAAGAGCGAGGCATGGATGAAATCTGTCCTTTCTGAAACTGGAGGAAAGAAAAAGGCACAGGAAGCTGCGATGGCATTAGCAGAGGACGAAGGCGTCATTCAAGCTCAAGTAAAAACCTGCATGGAAATGTTGTTGGTAGCTGTCCAGGACAAATGCTTGACCGAGGCTGACGTTTTGCACCAACCAGAACTGCGTAGTGCCAACTGGGAAGAAGGCAGTGGGAAGGTGGTGCGCATAGAAGAACCCGACCAAGAGGTATCTGAGTCATCGCCAGATCTTGTGGAACAGCCAGTTTGGGGTATTGACTGCTACACTCGCAGAAACGTGTCAATTTGCTTGTCGACGGAGTTTGATCAGGAGACAGCTCTTGTATTCATCGAGAAATGGTTGTTGCCGGCGATCAATGCCTGCCCTGTTGATTTGGCACATGACATCGCAAATGCCGCGTTGATTTTGGAAGGTCTCCCTTTTACTTGTACAGACAAACAGAACACACCCGGGGACAATTCAATAACTACCGAGGAGCGGTGGAGTCACTCGCTGATTGGAAAATCATTGAAGAACAAGATTCAGACGACTGGACCTCCTTGGTTGAAACTGGCAGCACGTACACTACGACGAGCCCGAGAGACAATGGGGCCGGACTTCTTCCGGGTAAGTCAGGGAAAGTGTCTCACACCCTCCACTACGCCGTATTGCTGGCAGCCTTTTGCTCACATATCGCTTTCCTGCATCTTCCTGTCAGGTTCATCCCAAAGGGCACGGTTCGATTGTCCTTCGTCCAGTGATAAAGCCAAACACATTGGTGACTTACTACCGCGGCGAAGGTAAGTGCAAGGCGTAAAGAGTTCTGCATGGTAGTGGACGTATGTGTGCTAATTCTGGTTTCTTTGGCGAAGTCTATCCGTCTTGGAGATGGGGAGAGAAAATGGATGCGATCGACATCACGCAAGCTCGCAAGAAGCTAAAACCAGCGTTGCCTGATTTCTACAACATGGCCCTGGAACGCCCGCAGAAGGACCCGAGAAAATACGGAATGCTCTTCGTGGATGCTTCACGAAAGGCAGGACACGGCAGCGCTGTATCGCATTCTTGCGCCCCGACGTGTGAAGTTCGAGTGGCAGCAGGTAGGTGCAAGAAATGGTTTCATGAGGTTCCAGATGTAGTTTTGCCGCCAAACTCACACTTTGGCCTGCCCCTCGCAGTCAAGGGGGAGCTGTGTCTCGCAATGACAACGCTTCGTGAAATAGAAATGGGGGAAGAACTGACCTTTGACTACAATGCAGTAACCGAGTCACTGGTCGAATACCGCTCGGCAGTGTGTCTGTGCGGGTATGGCAAATGTCGGGGTTCGTTCCTTCACTTTGCTACAGCAGACTGCTATCAGCGAGTTCTCGACAGAAATGCTCCTATCGCGGTTCGGTTCGCCAGTTTGGCCAAGGGATGCATGAAAGAGGTCATGTCTGACGAAGACGAAAAGACTCTTCGAAACCATGGATTTCTGACGGCTGCGTTTGGCGCAATCGCCGTGAACCGCCACAAAACATCTGGGTTGCAGGACAACGATGAAATGCTGCTGGATTCTATGGACAACGTTCCAGTTTGGCTAAGAACGTATGTCGCCGATGTCCTGCGCTACATTGAGTACGAACGCCGTGCGCTGCCTATCTCTTTGATATGCGAAGGTGAGCTCGTGAGCCAGGATAGTCATGTCGGAACCATTGCCGCAATTGTTCCGCTCATCTCTTGCTCCTTCTGAACATGAACCAGACCTCTCGAAATCGAAGGTTGACGCTACATGTACCACTTTAGAGGTAAAACCAACGGAGGCGGGAAGCAGCGTTGGTGATGCTGATGAAAGCGCGGACGCCGGCGACGATCCGGCAAGTGAGACGGGAAACGACAAACCCGCCAAAGCCTCCAAGCCAATGCCCATCTTTTTCTTTTATTGCAGGGAAAACGACACACGTTTCCGCTCCATTCTCAAGGAGGAAGAGGGATTTGAAGAGAAGGACCTACCAGGCTTGGAGTTTACCAGAGCCATCAAGCGCGTCGCCGGAACTCATTGGAAGCGATTGAGTGCTGATGAAAAGGCAAAATGGAAGCAAAAGGCTGAAAAAGACTGGGAAAAGCAGAATTGCCAAAAGAAGGCCTTGGCTGAGAAGAAGCGCAAGCAGGCGCCCGCTGTCGATGCGAAGAAGCAAAAGGCAAAGAAGTCAAAAAAGAAAAAAGAAAGTCTTGAAAGTAAGTTTGAGTCGTCGAACGTGTCCTTCCAAAATGCGGACGCCGAAGGTGCTTCAGCGATGGAACAAAGAATCCAACAACTTGCACAGTCTCTCAGCCGCGTGGGTCGTGTCCTAGACCGACACCGAGAAGCTGTCCACGTGGCTGAAGACGGCGGAGCCGAGGCTTCGGCTGAAACTATTCGCAGTCAAGTACACGCGCCCATCACAGTGGCTTCGGATGAGCAAATTGTAGCATGGCTGTGGAATGGAGACGGACTCGTCCCAACGTTGTTGGCGAAGATTGAATCGGAGGAGTGCGTTAGCCCATCGTTGAAATCAGCCTGCAGGGACATCAGGCAAAAATACGAAGCTTTGGACAAGTTTGGTTGTTATTGGGCGCTGCCAGAAGACTACAGAGATTACCCAATGAAGCCAAGGAAGGCCAGGAAGAAAGTTGCGAATGCGCTAATGGAGTTTCGGAAAGCAATCCTGAGAGAGTTGAAAGTCATGGCCAGGGATTTCAAGAAGGGAAAACAGCGAGAAAAGTTGGAACGCAAGAAGCGCCTCCTTGAAGATAAGCTTGCCAAGGGTGCCCCAGGGACACCTTCTACTCTCACAGATGAGGCTGTCGAGTTGTCCTCCGAAGCGAAGGAAGGAAACCAACTCCAAGACCAACCAGAAGCCACACCGGCCTCCAAAGAAACGCGTGCTGTCTGTCTCGAAGGGATCGAGACGCCTCATCAGAAGCCAACGAATGGCTCCTCCCCTGAGCTGGGCGGGTCCCACCCGCCTCCTGACGACAAACAAAAAACAACTACTTTGCCCGAGGTGGGTTCTTGCGATTCGAGCATGGCCACTCCTTCGTTGCTTTCGGAGGATACCAAAGTTGCGGACAATCCGGCAATCATTTCACGCGAAGTTTCTTCGGAAGTTGAAGAAGCCAAGGAATGCGTCGAGAATTCTTCGCCTTCTTGCCTTGCTGCTTCCGCCGGGGGGCCAGACGGTGTGGATTCTACTGCTTGCAGTAGCCACGTGAATGCCAACACAGAATCGTTGCAAATGGTGGCATCTTCATCAGCGGGGAGCCAAGAAAGAGCTAACGAGCCTGCTGCTTCTATTGAGCCGAGTGAAGCCTTGGATGCCCCAAGAAGCTGCAAGCAGACCGTGTCCCCAGAAGATGCGAAAACTGAAGTATCGACTGTCCTGCGTGATCTTGTTGAAGCAGTCGTAGCGCGAGCAGAATCCGTTAATAAGAGTAAGGAGGTAACGAAAGAAAAGATAGGCCAGAAAGACGACGATGACGACGAAAAACCGAAGCCATGGCTCAAGCATTATGCTCAACGATACAAGCTACAAGCCACAGCTGACTTGCTTCTTTTGTATGCCAAAACAAGCACTTTCTTTTTGATGCAACCGTACAAACCATTGAAGTCCACGCCGATTGAGGTTCGTTTCGTTTGACTGGCTCTGAAAGGTATCCAGAAGAAGTTGTTTCTGCGTCGTTTTGGACTCACATTTCGAACCGTTTCTCTTCAGGTTTATGCCAGGGAAATCGGCAATGCGGTTCCTCGGTCAGTCATTGATGAATCGATTCGAAAGACAACAGCCAAACAATCCCCCAGTTCTCGACCCAAAGATGAGACGACGCCCAACACGAAGCCCAAAGACGTAGATACTTTGGATGAGGAGCTGTGCAAACCGGATGAAGTTGTTGCGGAAGTCACTGTCAGGTACCAGGGTGACTACGTGTTGTCCCAATTGCTGCAGTGGTTCAATGCTGGAATAGGGCAGGCACCAGGTCTGCCTGAAACTCTTGGCTGCATACGCCTACCTGCCATCTCAGGGTGTTGGGCGCAGAAATCAGGGAGCATCCCAAAGACAAAGGTCGACCGGCCTACGGTTTACGAAACTAAGATCAGGCCTTCCTTGGTGGACTTTTTCAGCGACCCACAGAAACGTGGGAGCCCTTGGCCCGGCGATCTCAAGGCAGCTTTCTCGAAAAAGGGCTCTGCGGATTTGGCATCAGACACATCACGCCATTGGATACCACTTGGGTCACCAGTTCTCGACCTTCTTGTCACCGGCGATGATTCCAGTATACTCTCCATTCTGGATGAATTTGGTGCAGACGAGGCAAAGAAACGAGAATCTGGCTTGCTTTCAACGTTGGACGAAGGTCGTCCTGCGCAGGCTGTGAGTATTGTGTGCAATTGGTTGCCCTCCTCTATCATTTTCTGCCTCGCTCACAGTGCTCAATCCAACCATATCTCCTTCCGTTAGGTGTCCAATTGGGTGCAATGCGAGAATCCAAACTGTTTGAAATGGCGACGCATCCCTTGGCATGTGGATATTGATGTACTGGCACAGAGATTTGTTTGCAGTGACAACAAGTGGAACAAGGCCTCCAGATCATGTGATGCACCTGAAGGTAAGCGCTCGACCGTACAGTAGCAGTCTTTTGAATTTGCGAACCTATGAAGCTTTTCTCACCCTAGGCCTGCCTGCTGAACCACTACCTCAAAGATGACTACGAGGAGGCAGACAATGATGTTGTTGGCTCATTCTCGCCTGGCAAGAAGCCCATTAAAGCAAAAGTGAAGGAGGAAGGTCCCGAGGTCCCGACTGCGAAGAAGGCACTAACAATCTCGGTTGCCGCAGAAGCGACCAAACCCGTGGACGAGACTCTCATCGTACCTGGTGCTCGATTTGATGTTCTCCGGAAAGGCAAGTCGAAATTTTCGGTTGGTGAAGTGGTCGAAGTGACAACTTCAGTGGATGGAGTAAAGACGGCCAAGTTTCATTTCCCAAAGTTGAAAAAGGATTATGACGAGTACATTGAGTTCGGTTCACGCATCGCTCCTCTCTACTCCAAAGTTGCCCCGCCGGAAAAGCGAAAGAAAGGGGAAAGTCAAAAACAGGACAGCAAGCGCCCTCGTGTTGATGGTGCTTCTGCTGCGAGTCTGAAGGAAATCAAACGTCCTCGTGTTGACAGTGGTTCTGCTGCAAGGCAGGAGGATATCAAGCGTCCTCGGCTTGATAATGGTTCTGCTGCAAGTCAAATGGCGTTGTTTGCGTCTAACGAGACAGGGTTGTCTTCTTCGGATCCCACATCAACCCACAACATTGCAGACGGTGGTATTTCGTCGCATGCCGAAGTGGCTGCGAAATCGCCCCAAGCCAATTCCGCCGCGGAGTCTTCACCCAAGCCCGATCCAGCCGGGGTTTCTGGAATGGTTGTGAGTCCTGACCGACTTGTTTCCTCCATGACTATTCCCCGCAAAAAGAGGGAGCAACAAAAAGACGATGCAGCTCGATCGCTTGTCAGCACGCTGTTTGGAACGGCGAAGACAAAGTGCGTAGGTCCATCGCCCCCGAAAGTCAACGTAACTGCAAACGAAGCAGTTTCGCATCCATCTGAGCCCCATCTAGCTGAGAGTTCAGCTCCACTGCCGGCCAAGCCCCCTTCCTCTGGCAAATTGCAAAGCGGGCCAGGAGCTGCTGAATCTCCTGTTTCCCACCCTGTTGACGCAGAATTCGTGAAGGAACTGAAGCAGAAGATGAAGCGAAGAGAGAAGAACAAGCCAAGGAAAGAGAAGAGAAAACAGGAAAAGAACAAACAACAGCACGAAGCTTCCTCTGTGACCATCAGTACAACTGGATCCGGTGATTTTGCTGTGTTTGGTCACGCAGCAAGTGCTGGCGCAGCGTTGTTGGAAGGAGGAGAACTGGAAGAGGGAGAATTGGAAGAAGGGGAAGTAAAAACAAATGTTGCCCCCGGGCAACGGTTGCAAGAGTCTATGCAAGAGCAAACTTTTGCAAGCCTGTCGCAGGTATCCAATGTTCAACAGGCAACCGCAAGCACTCTCCAAGCTGCAGCTGCCGAAATTGGGCCTGAGGCACTCGGAGCCCTTTCTTCTTTGATGAGCATGAGGATTCCCAGAAATCATCAGCCTGACCGATTTGACCAACCCAACCGTCACATTTCCACATCGAGTATGCAAGGAGAGAGATCTGACCTCGTAGGAGGCAGGCACGTCGCCCGGGCGCCAAACACAAGCAATAACAGTGCGTTTCCAACTCAGCAGCACGTCCATCAGAATGCTCGGAGCTTTCCGCAACGACCCCCTGAGCCTAACCCTACTCGAGATGAGATGACCCAGCAAAGCGTAACTCAGGTCTACTCGGCGATGGCGAGGGAAAACCAGAAGGAGCTGCAACGGATGCAAATGCAGAATGCAATGAATGCTCAGATCCAACGGCAAAGGTTGCAACAAGTTCAGAGTGCCATGATGCATGCTGAGATCCAACGGCAAAGAAGCGGCGCATCCTTCTTTCAAGCCCCCCCTCGTTCGATTCCAGACCATACATCTCGGCAGTCGCGTCCGCATGACAACTACAGCGACTACGCGGCGGACTTCAGATTCGGTGGTGGCTATCGCTATCGTGACTATCGGCACGACTACAGTAGGCGATAAGAGTGTGCTGAACGACATTTCATAGTCTTTCTCCATACAAATAGCTAGCTAGCCTTCCGATTCAGCTTTGCATTTTCTGGAAATTAATCCCGCAATTCTTTTGACAGATCGAGTAATCAGTCTTAAGGGCAGGAATATGCCGTAGCGGAACATTGAGCCAAGAGCTACCCGACAAGCATCAACAAACAACATTTTGCATGTGTCTAAAAGTGAATTCATCATCCCTCTTTGATTTGCCCTCCACTTGATGCCGAAGGCGATTGCCTGGAGACGAGATAACCCTCGTTCATCCTTCAGAAGACGCATTGCGGACTTTCTCCGTTGGCTGCATGGTCGATAACGTGTCGATACGTGAAGAGACAAACAACGGAACAGGTACTTTCAGGAACATGACGTCCTCTTTTAAAAGGCCTAAACCGTGTCCTCTGTAACACATCAACTCAAGCGAGCACAGCTGGCAACCTACCTTTTCTCTGTGAAGAATACTTTGGATAGGGGCACCAGCGCTTTCATCAACACCGGCCGTGCCGCGATAACTTCCTCTCTGGAGAGGGACTTGACAGTGGAGTTTGAAGCAGGTGGCAACGATGCCCCATTTTTGTAGAAGATTCCAATTTCCCCTATCTGCAACTCAAAGAATCCAGGCCTAAAGTTTGGAATTGCTGTCATTTGTTCGGCGATGGCGAATTTGCTCATAATCAAGCCAATCTGAAAGATGCCCAGAGTTTTGTTGAACTGTGCTGCATCCGAAACTAACCGTGGCCCTCGTACCAAGCGGAAGTCTTCAAAAGGCACTTGGAGGGTGAAGAACTCATTGTCTCGTTTTGTGTTGGGAATTTTGACTTGTGCTTGATACAACTGTTCTCCTCGAGCACTGTCAGTCCTGGTTGTAAGTTTCCACACTCTGCGATGTGCATCATAGTCACTTGTCAGGCGACATCTGATGTAGATCCCTTCAGAGTCTGAAACGTCAAGCCTTTCCGCGAAAGGTAATGTACGAGCACCTACGAACCCTCTGCATTGGATGAAATGGTCTGTTGAGCACGATTTCTCTTGTCCAAATATGAACCTGAACCATCAGTCCTTCGCTTACCCTCCATCGACCCGACAAACTCCACTCCAGCGAGCAAAGCTCTCTCCGGGAACCTGCCGAACAAATGAGCTACTGATACCACCCATAACCGCATCATCGATTCTTTCAAAGCGATCCGTTTCATTCAGAGAACTATCCGAGAAATCAAAAATGGGTCTAAAGATAGGGCCGCTTTGCACAACATGATTATCCTCGGACAGAGCCATCGCTTGTGTGACAAGTCCATCATACCAGTATCGCTTCCCCTCAATTCTTCCATTAGAAGGCGACACAAACGCCGTTGATGTCCCCAGCAACAAGGTGAAAACCAGGAGTTTCATACAGGAGCTATTATTTGGTAATAACATCGTACGTGGTCATGCATGCATGTATCGTCCTTGAAACTTGAAATTGAGGCTTCGCCAGGAGCCCTCAACGACGAGTTCAGGAAAAACGAAGCTGGTTGGAAACAACGTGTACCGTATATCTGGTTGGTTTGGCAAGTAAAAAAAAATGTTGCCTCTTTTGTTGCTGCGATGGCTGCCTTTGGGTGTAAAATGAAGATCCTCAATGGGACATAGTGATGGGAAATTGAGTCTAAGTTGGATTCCAGCATCATCAACAAGAGCGATGAAGAGGTATTTTCTATCATGTTAATAGTAAGATTTTGGCAAAAAGTGAGCCTCGCCTTGCGTCCGAGACATTTCTTTCGGAATCGGGATTGAAAAAGGCAAACCGTTTCTTTAAATCCCAGTTAGTCACAGATCAGAAAAGAAGAAAATCCATGATCTCAAGTAAAGCAACAATAAATCCCCGTCAATCGCTCAAGCCCTGTTTGACCACTGAAACACCTGTAAAGAGATGCTTTCTCTCACAAGCAGTCCACCAACAAGATGCCGTCGCGACATCAGCGGCAATCAGCGAAAGATCACATGATCACTCACAAATTCCTCAAAGATCCAGCGGAGATTGCCCCAGTTCGTTGCTGACACCTCCCATCTTTCCTTGTAACCAAAACATGGCCACAGCCTCAATATAAAGACAACCAACCACACTCAACAAACACACAGCCACAATCCCCTTTGTTGCATGTCTTGCAACACTCACTCTGCATCCTCCATCTCTTCATCCTCATCCTAAAATGGTAACAGTTCCAGAGGAGTTAGAAATAAGACCATAGAAAAGCAGTAGAAACCAAAGAACTCACCTCTTCCTCATCATCTTCCAAACCCAATTCAATAATTGGTACCATCTCTTCCTCCGGTTCATCCACCTCCACAGGAACCAAGAAGTCGTCCTCCACCTCGTTCCCGCTGGAATCAAACTGCATCTCCTCTTCGTCCACCTCCAGGTCGATAACATCACCGTTAGCACCATCGTTGTCCTCATACTCAAACCCGAGAATATTCTCCCTCAACAAGCTCTCTACAACATCGTCTTCATCCTCCGCAGCTTACTCGGTGGTGAAAAAGTTCTCGAGGAGATGAGGAACTGCATCGTTGTGCCAATACTGATCTTTGAGCCTTTGGACTTGCTTGAGCACATTACGAACTCGAGGACCACCGCGACGGTCAACCCATGTGCCGTCCCTGATCATTGCTTCCTTCCTCTCTTGTGCCCTCCTGCCGTTCTGGTCGCCCAATCCAGGAACCACGGCACCCTCATGTTCGTAGATTGCCCTAATGGCAGGAATGAACTTCTCAATATCCTGGACGATTCGTTTACTGGGGACACCTCCCTCAAGAACACGATGGTAGGCACTCTGGCCGCGTTTGGGCGTGGAAATGGAGAACTTGGCTGGATCGTCTTCAGGCAAATGACTCGTGACAATGATGTGACGGTTGACAGCATCATTCAAATCTTTGTTCAACGAGCAATCCCACGGCATCATCTCTGGTGAATTACCAGAGGGAAACATGTTGTAGCGGACACCAGTGAGGTTCAATCCGACAGGCAAAAGCCAATGCTTGGCATATCCGTTCTTCTTCATCCAAGCGTGGCAGTCCTTCGACGTCATCTGGGAAAGCGCATCATGATAGAACCACCAGCCGTGAAAATTTGGCAAGTGTTCCGCAAAGAAGTCCTTGGATTCGTTGTAAATGTGTTTCACGAGCTCTGTCACACACACAACGGCCTTCAAAGTGGTCGATCGCTGGATGTAAGACCGCCATTCATCGTCACCAAAACGAGACTTGTAAGGATTCTTCTCCTTGCGATGATCCGTCTCAACCGGCACCATATGAAAGGCATTGCGGCAGGCATCCCGCAAAGCTTTGAGAGCTTTCACGCTCTTTCCCACAGCCGGCAAATCCGGTGACTGACCACCACGAACTCCCTTGTTCAATGTAGTAATCTTGCTGTCGGTAAGCAGACTGATATCCTTGATAGTGAAGACGTCATGCTTGTTGAATTTGGCAATAGTCCTGTCAGCAAATCCCTTGATCATACCAGGAGCAACTCGATCTCCCATGTACAACTGTCCTTTCTGGCGAGTGGTCTCGAGCCAGCCATGCTGCTTTGCGTTCCCATCCCCCATCTTCTTGATCCGAGCAAACTCGATGCGGACAAACTTGCGATACTTCTTCAAGGAGATGAGGTTCTTCGTTGAGTAGTCGAAGGGTGCAAGGACGTAACCTTTCTTGACCTGTGCGCCTTCATCTCCAGTCACCGTCATGGCACAACCCAAGCCCAAGCGCACTTCATCCTCGTACTTGACATTCAGACGGTGAGCTGGAGCTTCCTCAGAGAACTCGCCATTGGGATCCGGATTGCCCTTTTTATCACGGCAGGTTCGAATCTGATAATCACGGTTGACTTGAGCATGCGTTGATCCAATGACACACTTGCGATGTGCCTCATCCCAAAAGGTGCACCACTCCAAACAAAAGGCATAGTCATCCATATAATGAGGATTAAAGCACGGCGGAAGAGCTAACTTGGGCGTGCCGTCATCAGCGGTTGTGCCGTCGTCATCAACAGTCATTTCAGTCGTTCCAGTCGTTGAAGGCTCGGCAAAGTCGTCTTCATCGTCCTCGTCGTTGGGATCACGACGAGGGACATGTTTCTCGGATGCCAATTCCCGAAGCCTGTCTGGGACTGTCACGTAGTTTCCATAACGGAGAAGTAACTGCGTCACCCACCCATATCGACGAATTGCCCACGGACTGTTCTTGTCCTTGTTGCCTTGCTTCTTTTTGAGAATCTTCACCTTCTTGTGCGGAAGACGCTTCCTCAATTCCTCAACAGCCGAACGGGAGAATGGTTCATCGCCTCTGACAATCCTGATGCGGTTAATGTGATCGGTTGCAAGCGAGATGCTCATGCTCTTCAGTTCCATCTGGTCAATGATGATCCTGGCATCTTCAGAGTCGTTTGGGATCTTCACAGGCTTAGTTCGACTGAAGATGCGCTGCCCAACATACTCAATGCAATTCTCGCGACAGTAGACAATGTCACGGAAGATATGGAGGAGTTTTGCATCCGATGCCAATTCCAATCGCCTTCGAATGTCAGGCTGGATCTTGCCTTTGCCTTTCCACTCAAACTCAGGAGGATAGTCATAGAGATAACAGAACAAGTTGGCGACAGCCATTCGCAAAGAGCGAGACCGGTTCAAGAGTGACTCCATCGGAAATATCTCATCTTCCTCATCCAGTTCCCACTCATCGTCACTAAGATCTCCTTCGTTGTCAGAATCGGACTCAAACACAGGACGCCGGTTTGGATCCCAAGCTCGTCATCTGAGTCGCTGGCTAGAAGATATTCTTCCACTGCCTGTTGTCGTTGGCGTTGTTCCTCAGTCAAGCCTGCAACCAGACCACCAGTGCTGGATCGACGGGCTACAGGAGAAGTCACATGGTTGTTCTCTAGCTGACCAGTGGAAGCTCGGCGAGCAGGACGAGAACGACGACTGGAAGGTGGCGGCGGAGTCACAGAGGCAACACCAGATGTCGGTTTGGGAGACAGAGAGCGAGCTTTCTTCTTGACAGCTTCACTCTTGGGCTTCCTGTTGGCTAAATTCTTCTTGCGTCCACGCTTGGGAGGTTGAGCTGTTGGATTCCCCATGAACTTGACTCGAGATAACAGCGACGGCGAGTGGAAGCAGCGGCGTGATGCAGCAAGCGGAGGGAGCGTGGAAGGAGCCTTGTAAGATGACGTGAGTAGAAGGATCCCAATGACCGAACGGCCGATCCCCATGGTCGTTGATCAATTGAAGAAAGATAATGAAGAAGAGCCATTTCGTTCGATTGAAGATTGCTGCAGAGCTTTCCCTGTAAAGTGTCGATAGTCAAAATAATGAGATGGTTTCTTCGAGTGAAGAATGAAGACGCTGAACGATTCGGATTGGATCTTCTTCCGTTGCGACGCCATCTGTTGCTCCTCTTTCTCTGGTTCGTGCCGTCTTCCACATGCACCAAAATATCGATCCCATCTCACAAAGAGGCAATTCCATGACAACGCACATGTCCAAATGAGATGCCCATGGTCAACTCGGAACTTGAAATATCAATCCTACTTGTTGTGAGAGGAGTTCACGGAACGAGTGGATGTCATGCACATCGCCTCAACATGTTGACTGATCGTGCACACATGAACGAAAATAGATGCCCATGGTGGGATGCGATTTTCTTTGGATGCAATGACTAAATGGAGAACTCACAAGACTTTTTGTGACTGGGGAGCCGGCCATCTAGTTTAAAACTAAGCCTCACATTTTGAGCTCACATTTTCGATATTCCGACCGAAACCAAGGAAATGACGATGGGATTTGCCCCCACCACGTAAACCAAGGAAATGACGATGGGATTTGCCCCCACCACGTTGTTGAAGTCAAAAGAGCTCCAATTCAACAAAAACTTTTCGTCACTCAATGGATTATACCTTAAGCCATTGAGTGACGAAAAGTTTTTGTTGAATTGGAGCTCTTTTGGTGGAGAAAATGCTGGTGGGGAGTTTCCTGACGAACCAACCAGCATTACGGTATGCATACCGGTACCGTATGTCTGGTTATGGTTTGGCAAGTTTTTTTAAAAAAATTCTTCATTTGAAAGTTTTTTGAAATAGTTAAAAAATAAAATTTGAAATAAGGAATGTTGAAAAATTTTACCTGTGGGGGCGTGTATACCCCTATAAAGCTACTGTTCCAGAAATCCTATTATCTTCAAGTATATAGACAGTTCTGAGTTCTCCAAAAAGAGTAGATATCGTTCCAAGTAAAAAATTTCGAAAAAGATTGAGTTTTGGTTGAGATATGGGCATCTAGATATGGCGACTTGGGATAGCAAAACAATGCGATCCACAGCATGGCCTATGGGAGACCAGGGAAGGTATATTGCCAGCGCCCCACGAAAAGCTATTTTTGAAAAATCCATTTTCAATTTGGAAAACTGCTCCCCAGTTTTCCTGCCAGACCAACCAGCACGACGGTACCGGTATACGTAGCTAGCTACCGTAGTGGTATGGTATTGCCACTGCTGGACCGTCCGGCGGTTTTCACTACCATGTCCTCAATAAGCGTTTTCTACTCTTTATTACCGTGTCCGCAATAAGAGTTTTCTACTCTTTACATTACGTAGTTTCACTTTTTCAAGCAAAAGTTTCACTATTTCAAAAGTGAAACAGTGAAGTGTAAAAGGTAAATCTACCTCATCTACGTCAAAAAAGGTTGACGACGTAGAAAGTAGATTTGCACATTTTTCAATTTGTTTATGCCTGGTTCCGAAGTCGGAAGAAGCCAAAAAAAGAACCATTGGTACAGGCAACGGCAACGGCTTCCCATGGAGGCGCCATGGTCGCTCCCTCAACCGGAACTGGTAGAGGCGTCATGGTCGCTCCCTGAGGCTCCGGGAAAGAGGCTCCGTGGAAGGAGAAAGAAGTCATGGATAGGCTCGTCGAACGGTGGATGGAAGCTCATCGACTTTCATCTATCAATCAATCGTCGAACGACTCCGGCTGTCGCTAACCAAACAAGTGGAGCCTGTCATGGTGGATCCTTCTTCGAAAGGAGTAGCCGCTGTAAAGAGGATATAGCATCATCTTGATCTAATCAAAATAATGAAAGAGGCCAGAGGAGTGCTTGGATATCTGGTTGGATCAACACGATGCTTCAAGAGGGACTTGTCAGTTGAGCCCCCTTTAATGTGCCCGTTAAGTCTCTTGTTGTTGTGACACCTAAATCTTTCTCCTTCCCAGTGTCCTGTTAGAAACATTGAAAAATACTGAAACATGAAATTTAAAGTCTTATTGCGGACACACCTGTTGGCCGGTCTAGAAATTTAGCGGACCCAGATAAGAAAAAGACCGCACCATCGTAGGATTTTAAGGAAACTGGCATTCTCAGAATCCAGATTTCAGAGCGACCAGCCAGAAAGATCATTCTTTCGCCACAGTGTTGGGTAAGGCAACACTGCAACTACTAGCTATTATCAAGTTAATCTGTTGATTTGGGCGAGTTTTTGCCTGTCGGTTTGCCGGCAGGAGTGGTGGGAAACCAAGGCAGTGAAAGTTACATGCAACATTTTGCAGTTGATGAAGAAGATGACGATGAGGAACCAATCGCGCCAGTTCCAGATTGGTTTGACAACACTGTCGATAGCGACGATGAAGATGATGGATCGGTTCCAGGTTTGGTACCGAGACCACAATACGATAGCAGCGATGAGGAGGACAGCGATGACGAAGAAGACGCTATGAATCTCCGCCAATGAGACTCAGTGGTAGGAACACAAGAGCTGGGAGTGGAGATCTCTGCTTGGAGATCTCACTCCTCTGGCACTGGAATGGAGCCAGCTCCAAAGCTGGCTACCTCTGCTATTCAATCTCTTGGGAAGTAATGGTTGAGCTATCCATGCTTACCCAAGCACTGGCCACACAGGATCCGGTCAACTGCACGACTCTAGGTGTGCTTCTCAGGGTCTTCTCTGGTCAAACTTCTTTCATTACTTTAAACTATGCTAAGATCAACTGAACACAAAATCCTCGACAGCACTCAGCCATGCAGCTTTGACTCTCTTGCATCTCATTTGGCTGGTACTGATAAGCTAACTTTCTATATTGGTCTTGGCTGAAGAACTGCATCATCCTTGGAGATATGGAGTTCCTCAGCTATCTCTGGATTGCCAGATGGTGATACTGCTCACGGTACTGTTGGAGTATACACATGTCACAGCGATCTTTCCACATGGCTAAACCTGCACAGCTGCTTCGCACCACTATGGGAATTCACGTGGGTTTCCACTCATCGCTCCCCACCATGTGATGTGTCCATGGTGGTGTCCAAGAGATCAGCTGTGTCTCCTTGCCAGAACAGAACTGCCTTCAAGATGGGCCATATCTGGGAGTAGCCCCAGTGCTTTGTCAGTATGTCCGCGGGGTTGATCGCTCCTGGTAAGTGGTGAAACGAAATGATCCTTGCGGCGACGGCTTCTCTGACGAAGTGGTAGGAGAGGGCGTGGTGTCTCTTCTTGAGGGGTGAATGGGGTTGGGTGGAACTTGTCACCACAGACCCATTGTCGCCAAACATGTATGTTGGCCCCTTTACCTCCACACCAAGGTACCTGAGTGTGATCCGTGCAGCCATGGCTTGCTGGGTGGCAACTCTAGCAGCCACAAACTCAGACCCGTATGTAGCTGCCTCTACGGTGGCTTGCTTCTTGCAGTACCACTCAAACGGGTTCTGGTTCACATAGTGTAGCACACCAGTGACAGCCTTGCCGTTGACCCAGTCATGGTAAAGGTTCGCATCGACATATGTCGTCAACACTACAGGCTTGCCCTTTGCCTGTGGGGCATCCGTCGGGAGCTCCTCCTGTGCCTCCCCATAGACTGTCCTGGTCCAGTCATAGGTACGGTGTTCCAGTTGGGAATAGTCTGGCTCTTCTGTACGGATCCTGATTGATGCTTGGCTCATCTTGACCAAGAATCCAGCAATCCTCTTGAGTCTCTCTAAGTGCCCCACTCTGGGTGCCACCCTGAAGGATGGCATTGACATGACAGAGACTGCAATATCAAACCTTCCAAAAGAGATTGCCCATTGTAAGGCTCCAATCAGGGACTGGTATTTTGAGATCCCATCATCGTCCAGGAGAAGAGAAGTATCGAGCTCTGGGTGGTCATTCTTCTCTAATGGACTGGTGACCTTGGTGGATGGATTCTCCCCAAACAGGGCCACATACTGAGCCTTGACACGGTCGATGTATTTCTTTGGTGTCATTGACATGGTGCCATCACTGTCCCTCACAAAGTCACAACCCAGATGGAAGGTGACGGGTCCAGTTCCCTTGAGTTTGAACTTATGGGGTGGAGCCTGTAGCAAGTCAATGATGGCTTGAGGTTGCTTGGAGGCAATCAGCAAGTCATCAACATAACAACCGATGTATTCATAATGGTCACCGCAGTCCAGCATCCAGATGTTGGGTTCAGCCTTGGAAGGCCTGAAACCAAACCCATGGAGTACATCAAAGAGTTTGTCATGCCAGCATTTTCCTGATGACTTGAGGCCATATTGGGCTTTTATCATTTTCATGGAATGACCAGCCATATCTCCAAATTCCCCACCAGCAATAAAGCATACCTTTTCTGTTGTGTAGCTTTCCAAGTATGCATTGCCGATGTCCGTGGCCCAAAGTTCCAGGTCGTTTAGTTCTGCCAGGAATGTAACCAGACGGATGCCCTGTAAGGACACGACACCTGAGTAGGTTGGATCTACCGGTGTTTCTGTCCTGTGGCCTCCTGCCACAAATCGTGCCTTATGCCGCCCATCATGTTTGACGGCATAGACCATGTGACATGGTATCTTCTGGTACCCTGTTGGAACTGGAGTGTTCTTTCCCAGTGACTCGAAGGTGTCGTATTCCATCAATTGGGCGATCTCCAGTCTCTCTGCATCCTGCCATTTGCTGTTGCCATTCTTCTCGTCGATGAAAACAGCTTCGGCGTGGTTCCTTGGGACCTGGAAACCGTATTGGTAAATGGGCTTGGTGCGGAAACTTTTCAGCTTTGCTTGGTGCACCATACGTGCAAACACCTTGGCATTCTTGGTGTACGGTTTGCACCGTTTCCACCCA